TTCTATAGTGAAATTAGATACCTAACTCACAAACCTAACATTTAGAATATAACTCCGTTCATAAATTGAGGTACACCTAAACAGAAATTACAGTCTAGAACACTAAAGCAGCTATATTATCTGCCATTTCAATTCCAAATATAACTGGGGGTAAAGGGAAGCTAGGTTACTGGGTGCGCTCAACAGATGGGTGATAGTTGTTGAACAAAGCTTATAAAAACAAAACAGACCCTGTGGCCTCAAATGAGGTTTATATTACTAACATTTCCAACAAAGGCTGACATTCCAGAATGTCAAATTATTTCAATAATGTCAAAATTTCCTTTTAAAAAAATCCTGATGTCCTATACATTATCTGGCCCTCCTAAAAATGTATGCATGCAGGAATGAATAAATAAACGAACACGAGTCAAAAGTCATATGTAAAACTAGGGAAAATGTTTGCAACACAAAGACATAAAAAGGAACCCCTACAAATCAACTTAACAACAAAAAGAATACCTACAACCCAAAAGAAAAATGAACAAAGAAAATCAGAAGCTCACATATAAAGGAAATCCAGACGACCAATAAAGATAAAGCTACTCAATCTTATAATCAAAGAAACATAAATCGCTAAAACAAGATGTCACTTTTCATCTGCCAAACAAGCAAAAATTAAAAAGACTGATAGTATCTAATATGGGCAAAGGTGAGGAAAAACAGTCTCTCATTCACTCTTAGAGTGTAAACTGAGTATGGGGGGTGGTGGGAATTTGGCACCTTGCTTCAAAATTATATATGTTCAAATTCTTTGACCAAGCAATTTTACTTCCCAAAGAGTACATTTTCATACAAGATAACGTTCAAGGACATCTACTGTAACCCTCTTTAAAATACTGAAACTTTAAAGCAGAGAACCATTTACATGTCCATTAACAAGAACTGGTTAAATAAATTATGACACAGTCATTCAATAAAATACTCTGAGGCAGTGAAAAAGTATAAAGTAGAGCTCAGATTCTTAAGATATATTAAGTGAACAAAAACTGAGCAGGATATATAATACAACCCATTTGTTTTTAAGAAAAAAGATGTATGAGTGTGGAAGCATACTTGTATATGCACGTAAATTTCTTAAAGGATACAGAAGAAGCTGCTAACTATGGCGACTTCTGGGAAACCAATAAGCAGGAAGGTAAAGGAGCACATTTTACATTATACTCTTAGAATTACGAGTTTTAAACAATAATAAATATAACATATTATAATAATTATATATTTTTACATATCATACATAAATTTTTTAATTATCTGAAATTTTGAAATTTATTCCCAAATATGCCCAATGTCATTTCTCCCAACTTAGCAGCTAAAATCAAACCTATATTCTTTAGCTCTATTATATTCAAAGAACCATATGAATAGATTCCCTTCTCTACACATAAATTTTCTAGCCACCATGAGGCCATTTTCTCCCTATTCTCACGTACAAAAGCCTCTCTGGCCTTGTTCTCTGCCTAGAACTCCTAGAATTGTGAGGACTCCCAGTCACCACCATTTTTTGCCTGCTTAACCCAGCTCCCTCATCACTCAGATCAAGTCACATCCACTAGTTATAGAGTCTCACAGCGTCCTGGTTTCTCCCTCTCATTGTTGTAATTTTATACTTCTGTGATTATTTGATGAACACCCATCATCCGCACTAGACTATAATCCTGTATAGGGCAAGTCTTTGCTCATGATTACATTCCAAGTATCGTGGCGGCATGTCATAGTTGCTAAATAAATATCTATTAAATAAATGACTCCTTAGTGCCTGGCATGTAGTAAATGCTCAGTAAATGTTATTCATTTACATGGCATTGTAGAGTATGTGCTAGGAGGAGTAGGGATAAATAAAAGAATTGTCAGGGAACTGAGCGAGTACCTGGTTGAGGATAACTAGCATTAATTTGTGTCTTTTGTGAATTTCTTCAGACCTAGAGCAAGAATAATTATCCAGAATGAGGAAATGGCTAGGAAAGAACTTGGAAAAGCATCCTTAAAACAACTGACTGGGAGGTATGGCCTTGAAGGGAAAAAAGTAAGGCCCCTCCCTCTGCTTGGATTACCTCATCCTCACATCCCATCCCCTATGTTCTGGGCGTAGTCTACATTAATTATTTAAACCAGCATCAAATGCCCCTCCTCTATAAAGGCTCCCACAGCTTCCAAACAAAAGTATCTCTCTTCTTTGTTCCCAAGGTTCTCCAGACTTAGTTATTATATATCCATCAATCATACTCCTTCTCATGTCTCTTGGTAAATCCAAAGGTGTCAAACCTTATTTTACTTGACCCATTCATTCATTGCATTTGACAAAAATGAACACACTACTCAGCCCTGAATTCCACAACACTAGACTCTCAAAACTGTCATTGTCCCACACTAGCTATTTATTTATTCTGTCTCCTTTGCTGGTTTTTCATCTCCCCAAACCTATAAAGGCTAAAATGCCTAAGGACTCAGTCTTATACTACTTTTCTTTTCTGTTTACATTCATTCCTTTGGTGATTATCTCCAGTCTCACAATTTTAAGTACCATCTGTTCACTGACAACTCCCAAATGTTCTTTTCCAACAATGAACTCCCCCCACTGAACTCCTAACTTGGTAGACTCAACATCGCCACCTGGATGACTAACAGACATCTCAAACCTAACATGTCATAACTGAACTCCTAATCTTCCCCCACACAACTTCTTTCTTAGTTTTTCACTTCTTAGTTAATGGCAATTCCACCCTTCAAGTTGCTCAAGCCCCAAACCCTGAAAATTATCTCACTCTTACAATCCACATTCAATCCATAAACAAATCTGTTAGCTTTACCTACAAAATGCATCCAAAATTGAACTGCCTCTCACCATACTTCTTTTCACCCTATGAAGCCACTATAATCTCATGTGAATTATTACAACACCTTCCTAATTAGTCTCCTGGCTTTTGCCTACCACACTCTCCAACAATCTGTTCTTAACATAGCTGCCAGAGTGATCCTGTTAAAAACCTAAATCAGATCATGACATTCCTCTGCCCAGAACATCCCACTGGTTATTCATCCTCTACGTTATTCCTTCAAAGCAGGAATTATACTGCATGACATTTGCATCTGCACATGACTAACATAACATCTTGCCACATATTAGGTACTTAGTAACTGTTTGTTACCACTTCAAAACCAATGAAAGTAAACTGGGGACAAATTTTGGGAATCCTAATATCAGATTTGAGTTTGTACTTAAAGATATTAGGAAGTCACCACATGGACCCAAAAGAAAAATATACCATAAGGTACATTCTAGGGCTATTTCCATTCCTATGCTAAGTAGAGTTACATACAATTATGAACTAAACCAGAAAAAAATCCAATTTATAATTTTGAGACATCTGCAGATGTTGCACCAGAATTCTATTACCATAATGACCTTTTCACACTGCATTATCTTAGAAAATAATGGTAAAACACACATACAACAATCTATCAATAATATTGCTCCTTTGGCAGACAGTCCATGTTGATGCCACCTATAATTCTCCTTCAAACTAACAGTAAAATACCTGAGAAAAGATACTTTTTCCTTTTAAAGGTGTTAACCTCTAAAAAATAAATTTATCCCAAAGTCTTATAATAGAAAAAGATACAAATTACAAAAGGTTGCTCAAAATTGAGATGAATAATTACATCAGATTATAATGAATTTACTATTATTTAATGCTAATGTTTAATTCAAAGTATTTTCAAAATTACACATATGAAGCAGCAAAATTACCTTCCAAAACCATGGAATTCACTTATTACAAAATTCTCATCTCTAAAATAATAACCGTATATAGGACGATTGTGAAAGTTAAATGAATGATATTGGTAAAGCTATTAGAACAGTGCTTGGCTCAGTTACCACTCAACACATTAGCTAGTGGTAATAGTTATTAATTTACTAAAGTGAAAATGACCAAATGTGACCAATGTGGACTATTCAAAGCCATACTCGAAGGGTCGACTGTTTGGAATCAGTAGCTAAGATAACACATATAAAGAACCATTTGAAAATTAAAAGCAGTTTTATGAAAAACTGTATCACCTCTGACCTGTGATACCTGTAACATTAACTATTTGAAGGCAGCTATACCACCCTGTAACATTTTGGAAAACCACTGTTCACACGGGCATTATTTTATCTTTCAACAAAACAAAGAGTTCTAGCATGTCCACAAATCACAAACGGTCCTCTGAATTTCAACAGGAATTGTCTGAATTTTCGGATCCAACATTTTCAGATCCAATTAATACAACTGTATCAACATACAGTTAATTCTCGGTTCAGTATATTATCAGACAGTCCAAAGAGATTAATAAGCGGGACACATACACCTTTATCAAGCCAAAATTGAATTGAGGTCAACAAACAGAAAGACATTAAAGATAATTTAAACAGAAGTTTGAATCGCACCTAGCCTTCCTGAGGCAAAAAGAAAAACTTTGTCGAGATTATCGACTACAGATTTCACCTTTAAATCGAAATTAGCCTACCGTCTCAGGTGGGCTAATATTGCAGCGGCAGGCCGTATGTGAATGATAAACGGTGATAACCTAAAGTTATTCCCCTGCACCCTACACTTTGGCCTTCGTCCCTAAACAAGATTTGACGGCAGCTGAAAATTGTGAAGTCATTTAATTTCTCCTCCACCTCCCAATATTTAAGAGGAGGAGCTGAGGAGGAAAAACTAAAGGACAAGCCAAGAGCGCGAGGTGAGGGGCCAAGGTTAGCCAAAACCGGCTAGCAGCCGCAGGACAAGCCGAAGCGTGGGTCCTGCAACAATTCCAACCCCACTGCTCAGGCGAGAGGTAACGCATTCGTGAAGGCTACGCAGCCCGACCCGCGCCCCTCAGTCAGCCCGGGGGTGAAAAGGGGGACTCCGAGAAGAAGCGAACTTTTGCAGAAACACGAGAAAAACTCAAACCCCAGCTTTGATTAATACCTCGCGGGCCTTCTAGTCCTGTCTCCAGGAAGAGCAGGCGGTGGTGACGTCAAATAGGCGCCGGCTCCGTCCGCTGGGCGGCGGCGCTCTGTGATAACCTCACGCGGCTCGCCCCGCCCCCTGTCTCCTTTTCCCTGGGCCTCTACCTCAAATACCTCAGGCCAGACCTGTGGAAGCGTCTGGGGCAAGAGGCGGGTACCTTTTACTGGATTTGTATTCTGCGTACACCCAGATACAAGTTGGGCATACTTAACCAGAAAAAAAAAATGTTAGTTACTAAAGCTTTGTTAGGTTTTTATTTTATTTATTTATTTTTTAAGATTTTATTTATTTATTTGAGAGAGAGAATGAGATAGAGAGAGCATGAGAGGGGGGAGGGTCAGAGGGAGAAGCAGACTCCCCGCCGAGCAGGGAGCCCGATGCGGGACTCGATCCCGGGACTCCAGGATCGTGACCTGAGCCGAAGGCAGTCGCTTAACCGACTGAGCCACCCAGGCGCCCTAGGTTTTTATTTTTGCGTAAACTGGTTCCGGGACCCTGGGGTTTTGTTTTGTTTTGTTTTATATAATTTATTTATTTGACAGAGACATGGCGAGGGCGGGGGGGTGGGAGAGAGAGAGGCGGGCTTCCCACCGAGCAGGGAGCCGGATGGGGGGCTCGATCCCGGGATGCCGGGATCGTGACCTGAGTGGAAGGCAGACGCTTAACCACTGAGCCACCCAGGCGCCCCTCAGGGGCTCTGCTTCTTACTACACCTCCAATGTCCGCCTCAAAATTAACCGTCTAGAGCGGACTCCCAAATTATCTGTGGTTAAAGCACAAGTTCTTTAGTTTTATAATTCATCACTGAAAGATACTTTTGTAAGATAGAGCAAAAATGAATTTCTTTGAAGGGGGGGAAATCGGAGGGGGAGACGAACCATGAGAGAGATGGACTCTGAAAAACAAACTGAGGGTTCTAGAGGGGAGGGGGCTGGGAGGATGGGTTAGCCTGGTGGTGGGTATTGAGGAGGGCACGTTCTGCATGGAGCACTGGGTGTTGTGCACAAACAATGAATCATGGAACACTTCATCTAAAACTAATGATGTAATGTATGGGGATTAACATAACAATAAAAAATTTTTTTAAATGAATTTCTTGAAAAATGGAAAAAATAGGCAAAATACAAGTACAGATTTTTCATTATTAGTTTCAGTAAGCATAAAATTATATTTTAATAAATACAATCAGATATGAGAGGAAAAACTGTTCATTGGAAATGTAGTATAGTAGCTCCCTCTTACCATGGTTTCACTTTCCTTGGTTTCAGTTACCTGAGGTCAACAGCAATCTGGAAGCACATGATCCTTCCTCTGATGAATGATTAGAATTATTAGAAGGTCAATAGTCACTTAACACGATGCCTGCACCATTCATGTCACTTTATCTCATCATATAAGCATTTTGCCATCTCATGTCATCACAAAAAGAAGGGTAAGTACAGTACAATAATGTATTTTGAGAGACCATATTCACATAGCTTTTATTACAATATAGTGTTATAATTGTGCTATTTTATTATCAGTGTTGCTAATCTCTTAGTGTGCCTAATTTACAAATTAAACTTTATCATAGGTATGTACGTATAGGAAAAAACAGTATATACAGGGTTCAGTACTACATGCAGTTTCAGGCATGGGGGCAGGTGTTAGATCTTGGACCATATTCTCTAAAGACAAGGTGGGGACTACCGTAAGTGATTAAGAGCATCATTTTCACATTTGTAACTTTTTATATGTGATTTATATACATATATCAAATCATTATATTGTATGCCTTAAATTAATACAGTGTTGTAAGTCAATTATATCTCAATAAAACTGGCGGCAGTGGGGGAATGGAGAGGAGAAGGAAAAAAGAAAAGTTATCCAAAACCTCTGGGGGAGGGGGGAATACCTCCTGATAGCATTTGAAAACCACTGCCTTATGCTACATCACAGTTTCTATTACTCTATTTCACATCAGGAGGCTGAATTCGCCTCAGTGCTGGTGAATACTCCAGCTCTTAGCTGCAATGAGAGAGACTCAATATTTAACAATATAGCTGGCCTTCAAACTGGAAGATAAAGGCACTGACCACATTCCCAGAGTAGATCAATTCCTTCCCATTTGATTACTTCACAGTACAAATGATGGTGGATGATGCAAAAGTAGCTGTTCAGGACAAACTAGCTATGTGACCCTAGGCAAGTTATTTAATCTCTCTGATCCTTAGTATTCTCATTGGGAAAATAGAGCTAATAATAACTGTGAGGCAAATGAGGCACCATAAGTGCTTTCCATAGTGCCCAGCACAGAGTAAGCATTTAATAAACATTAATCATTAGTAAGAGGAATTATCACTATACAATATTATCACTAAGAAAAAGGAAATTAGAAAATTCTAATGTTGATAGAAAAAGAAAATTCTGATGTTGAATTTAAGAAGTTTCTTAGACCTTAGTATTCAAATTATGTATTACAAATCAGGCTCCCAATTAATACCAGAGTAAAATATTATAATTTTTTCCTATCTTCTGGATGATAACAAAAGAAAATCACCGTTTTACAGCCATCATAATAATAATCAACTCAGGTGAGATTCATCAGTAGATGCTGAAACTGTTAGGTACAAGTTTGATGGAGAGCAGGACATTTATACCACCTTAAAACACTTCATCATAGGTTATTTTTGGATTACGAAAGTAAAAATGGTAATTTTACAATAGCTAAATCTGGTAGATATAAAACCAAGTGTTCTATTTTAGCATCACTAATGGGACAAACTGACATCACATGCCTCCTTTTGTGATGTGCTAAGACCATACCATCATTTAATGTGTTATTCCTGCCAAAAGGATATTATGTGAGTCTGATCCTCAGGAAATATCAAACACACCCAAAATGAGAAACATTCTTTAAAAAAAAAAATAGCTCTGTTTCAGAATTGTTAATGTCATAAAAGATTTTTTAAAAAAAGAAAGAAAGAAAGAAAAGAACTGTCCTAGATTGAGAAACTGTATACAGAGACCAACAGCAAAAGGCAATGTGTGATCCTGGATTGGATCCCGAATCAATGAAGAAAAAAAAAACCCTACAAAGAATATTACTGGGGCAGTTGAAATTGAATATAGATTTTATATTGAATAATAGTATTAAATCTATGTTTTTTGTATTTGATAATTGCACTGTGATTATGTTAGAGAATGTTCTTGCTCCCAGGAGATGCATGCTAAAATATTTAGATTAGGAGTAAAGGGCCATATTGTCTGCAATTTACTCTCAAATAGTTCTGAAAAAATATTAATAGTAATAATAATAGTAATTATATGTGAAAGGAGATCTCAGATGTGGCAAAGTGTTTCGTTTATTTTTTTTTAAGCTTTATCCATTTATTTGAGAGAGAGAGAGAGTGGGGGGGGAAGTATTAGAGGGAGAGAATCTTCAAGCAGTCTCCCCACTGAGCATGGAGCCCAATGTGGGGCTTGATCTCGAGATCCATGAGGTCATGACCTGAGCTGAAACCAAGAGAGTCAGACGCTTAACTAACTGAGTCACTCAGGCGCCCCAAGTGTTTGGTTTATAATCAGTGAATCTAGGTGAAAGATATGAGAGAGTTTATTGTATTATTCTTGCAGCTTGTCTATAAATTTAAAGTACAAAAGAAAAAGAAGTAGGAAGGAAGGGGAGAGAGGAAGGGAAGGGAGGGGGAGGGAAGGGAAGGGAAGGGCAGGGGAAGCGGGGGGAAAAGCATGATGGATGGGAGACCAGAGAGGAAGAGCCTTCTCTGAAATTCAGCCCTTTAGCTTTATGGGTGGTTTGTTTACAAGACTCCTGTCTTGTTTGTGACCTTTAAGGACCTGGGATGAAATAATCACCACAGGTTATGGTCTATGTGTACGAAATATTACTGTGCAGAATATTGCCCATTGCTACCCCCATCCCCTCCCTCAATTTTGAAAAGTGCAGGTCATAGTAATGTTAACAATTCCAATAGCAAGCTTTGTTTCCATCTTTGTTTCTTTGTTTCATATATCATGAATTAAAAAACAACTGTGAACTGGTCCACATCAGCATTTGGAAGTTTGTTCTCATTCATTAATCTAATTGTTTAATCATTGAACCAAAAGTGGCTAAATCACTCTCTCCCTACTTCTCAGACTGGATATTGAGAATAAATAAGCAAGTGAGGCTGCTTTACCACTCAGCTTCCCTGCACTCCACTCCAACTTCCAGCCTTGCAGGAGAGGGACTGATGGAAAATAAGCTTTGCTCAGACAGATAGGTACTGAGGGATGGAAGTCCCTGCATGTATGCCCAGCCCCATTTGGGACCCTGACTTGCTAGTTCAGAAGACAATCTGCAGTCTAACTCCACCTCATTTGACTCCTGCTGTAAGAAACAGAAAAATTACAATGAGAATTTAGCAGCAAATTAGGCTTAGTTCAGGGGAGGTCATTAGTGTTTCATGACACCCTGAAGAAGAATGCCCAGGTGGTAAGAATATTCTTTCTTTAAACCAAGTAGGAGATTCTAGGTGATGAGCAATTGATGCCATCACTATCTGTACTGTTTGTCTAATTAATCTAAATAAATAAGCCACTTCCTCTTCTATTTTTTGTGCTTTTTTCTTCCTTCCTTCCTATTGTTTTGTTTTGGTTTGGTTTTGGGTTTTTGTTGTTGTTGTTGTTGTTGTAGTTGTTGCTATTGTTTTGTTTTCCGGGTGTTGAGTACTTGATTCATTTGAAGCATCTGGTGGGATGGGAAAATTTAAGCTAGGTTGTCAGCTCATAAGTCGTTCTAAATACACGAAAAGTTATATTTCTTCCCTTATTGTCTTAGTCCTTTCACACTGCTATAACAAAATGCCACAGACTGGTGCCTTATAAACAATAGACAGCTACTTCCCACAATTATGGAATCTGAAAGTCTGAGATCAGGGTGCCAGTAAGATTGGGTGAAGCCTCTCTTCCAGCTGTAGACTGTCAACTTCTTGTATTCTTGCTTGGGGAAGGCAGAAGGGAGTTATCTCAGACCTTGTTTAAAAGGGCACTAATCCCATCATAAGGACTCCTCCTTCATGACCTAATCACCTCTCGAAGGCCCCAGCTACTAGAACCATCACATTGGGCATTAGGATTTCAGCATATGAATTTGGGGGAGACACATTCAGACCATAACACTCATCTTCACCTCACTGTGCTTTATTGTCCTAAATTATTTACATCAAAAAATGGAATAAAGACAGGATTTTAAAACCTCCCTAGAATTAGCCCATTTGAAAAAATAACTGATAATTCAGTGCTTCTTTAAGAAATTGATTCCTGTCATACTCCTTAAAAATACCCTGAAACCGGGGTGCCTGGGTGGCTTAGTCGTTAAGTGTCTGCCTTCGGCTCAGGTAATGATCCCGGGGTCCTGGGATCAAGCCCTGCGTCGGGCTCCCTGCTCCATGGGAAGCCTGCTTCTCCCTCTCCCACTCCCCCTGCTTGTGTTCCCTCTTTCACTGTGTCTTTCTCTGTCAAATAAATAAAATCTTTAATAAATAAATAAATAAATAAATAAATAAATAAATAAATAAATAAATAAATATACCCTGAAACCTTGCCACATAATAACATCCTTCAAAAAAAAATCAATGTTTATAGGCATAATGAAAATAAATATATTTATTACTCAAAATGAATCCATTCTATGAATTGCACGTAGCTCTGTGCCTCCTGCCATTCCCACATGAAGAATAACCTGAGTTTTCTGGAATGACGATCAAGGATATAAAGGGAAAGGGCATTCTTAGATGGTCCAAGACTCAGAAATCAGTCCATCAATGGTGTGGGCATGTGTGATTCAGTTAAGTGCTCTGAACCTAATCTGTAAAACCTGTAAAATCATGATTTCCAACCTACTTACTGCTTTTCCTAAACTTTATGACAGAAGTTAGGTGCTATATTTTGCAATTTAAGGCTTTGAAAATGTTTCTATATGTATTCCTTACTAAGCCAGGCTGTACTGAGTTTTCAACATTGTAACATAGGCCCCTGTTATGAGAAGGCTAAATCATTGAAAGAAACAGGTAGTAGATCAGTGCATTTTCAGCTCTCTCTGTGTCTGTGCCTTTTTCCAGGTGACTTTGCTATTCCTCCCATCAGGATGTCAAGTATATTTTCCCACCCCTTGATGATGAGTTTGGCCATTTGCTTTGTTTTGGCCAATGGAATAATAGTGGATATGATGCAAGAGGAAGCATGAAAACCTGGGCTTGCTTTGTTGTGCTTCTGCCATCACGATGAGAAGGATAGACCCAGCTAGCCCATTATCCCAGGAGGAAGGTGAGGATCACGTGGAGCAGAACCCAGTCATCCCACTAAGCACAGCCAAACCAGCTGCCAAGATACATAAGTGAGCCCAGGTCAAGATGAGAGGTAGGCCATTCTTCAGACACCAAAGAAATAAATGTATAGAATTATATGCCACACAGCACACAATTCTGTGGCACTAGCTAACTGCCACAGGTCAGTAAAAATACATAAAGGGGAAGAGGAGAGAGTTTGGCTTCTTGTAAAGTGTTAATTCTCCTGGATATTATGAGTTATTTTTTGAACCAAAAAATGTAAAAGTAAAAAAAAAACAAAAAAACAAAAACCATAAAGGTGTCTTACCCCCAATATATAAGCTACATATTCAGTGGGGTTTATTTCATAATATTATAAAGGTGATAGTGGTGAAATATAATACTGCTGAAATAAATGAAAACTTTATTTTTTTATCATAAAGCTACATATCTGATTGAAGGTATACTTTTATGTATCAAGAGGCAGGCAGAGAGTAATTACCATCTGACAATGCATTACTGTCCAGGTATTCATCTGAAGGTTCTATAATGCATCAAAACTATTTTTGTTTTGGGGCACCTGGGTGGCTCAGTCGTTAAGTGTCTGCCTTCGGCTCAGGTCATGATCCCAGGGTCCTGGGATGGAGCCCCACATCGAGCTCCCTGCTCCACCGGAAGCCTGCTTCTCCTTCTCCCACTCCCCCCTACTTGTGTTCCCTCACTCGCTATGTCTCTCTCTGTCAAATAAATAAATAAAATCTTTAAAAGAAATTAATAAATTGATAAAACAAAAATAGTTTTTTTCAAATAAATAAATAAATAAAATCTTTTAAAAAATTAATAAGTTGATAAAACAAAAATGGGTTTTTTTTAAAGATTTTATTTATTTATTTGACAGAGACACAGCGAGAGAGGGAACAAAATCAGGGGGAGTGGGAGAGGGAGAAGCAGGCTTCCCGCTGAGCAGGGAGCTCGACACGGGGCTCAATCCCAGGACCCTGGGATCATGAGCTAAGCGGAAGGCAGACGCTTAACGACTGAGCCACTCAGGTGCCCCTTATTAATTAATTTTTAACTCAAAGAACTGATATGCACATTGTACATAGTTCTGATTATACAGACATCAAACTTATTCTTTTTATCCACAGATCCTAAAAACCTGTTTTACATATATTAAAGAAGCCCCTCTAGCCAACTAGTTATCTAAACATAGTAAGATGAAAAGACTGGTTAAAGTTAAAGTTCCATAGTTAAAGTAAAATTTGATAGTAAATTGTGTAAGAAATATTTTGATTTGTACTCCAATTTGAAAATTAGAAGAAAAAATATTATTAAAAATTTATTTCATTATATATTAACAAAATTCTGGTTATAACTGTAAGACACTAATTGTTAGAATGAAGAAAGACAGAACCAAGTATTGGTTGAGATTTTTGTTTAAAATACTTCTCACGGGGTGCCTGAGTGGCTCAGTCAGTTGAGCATCCGACTCTTGGTTTCAGCTCAAGTCATGAACTCAGAGTTGTGAGATCAAGCCCTGCATCAGGCTCCACACTCGGTGGGGAGTCTGCTTCTCCTCTCCCTCTGACCCTCCCTACTGCTCTCTCTCTCTCTCTCGCTCTCTCTCTCACTCTCGCTCAAATAAATCTTAAAAATGAATAAATTAATTTAATTTAATATTTCTGACAAAATTATTAGGTACTAAATGCAGTGTGGTATCCTGAATTGGGTCCTAGAACAGAAAAAATTGAGAAAAACTGGTGAAATCTGAATAAAATCTAGAGTTTAGTTAAAAGTAATATGTGTTAATTTCTTAGTTTGACAAGTGTACAAATACATGTAAGTTAAGAATTGACATTAGGGGAGGGACACCTGGGTGGCTCAGTTGGTTAAGTGTATGCCTTTGGCTCAGGTCATGATCTTAGGGTCCTGGGATCGAGCCCTGCATTGGGCTGTCTGTTCACCAGTGAATCTGCTTCTCCCTCTCGCTCTGCCTATGTGATCTCTCTCTCTCTCTCTCAAATAAGCAAATAAAATCTTAAAAAAAAAAAAAAAAAGAATTGACATTGGGGGAAACTGGTAAGAAGTAAACAAGAACTCTTATAGTTGCAACTGTTCTATAAATCTAACATTACAAGTGAAAAGTTTATTTCAAAATTATTAGGTGGCATGACATGACATTCTTCTCTCACTTTAACAACATAACCACAAAGAGATTCATTTGTGCAGAAGTGTGTGAAGGATGTACCAATTTTCCCAAGGACCTCGCTTAGTCCCTTGAGACAAATCTTTCTCTTTTATTTTTTTTTAAAGATTTTATTTATTTATTTATTTGACAGAGAGAGAGATAGCAAGAGCAGGAACACAAGCAGGGGGAGTGGGAGAGGAAGAGGCAGGCTTCCCACCAGGCAGGGAGCCCAATGAGGGACTCGATTCCAGGACCCTGGGATCATGACCTGAGCCAAAGTCAGACGCTTAACAACTGAGCCACCCAGGTGCCCCCAAATCTTCCTCTTTTAAAGCACCTATCCTACAGTAATCCTTGTAATCTATTCAATCTCATAACTGTAGGAATACAGATAATTAATACTGGGAAGACAGGGAACCCTGTGTCTCCACTTTTCCTACACTGTAAATACATAAAAAATTGAGGAAACAAAAGAGGCAATGAGAATTGGCAGCCAATGAAAAAAGAAAAAAGTCCCAACAGAGATGTAAACGTGGGATACAAACTGTATTTAGAGATCTTCTTCCTTCCATGGAGCATGATGTCATAAGACTGTCAGAAGCATGAGCCCTTAATGACTAAATCCTTCTCTCTCCAAGTCTGTGGCTTCACAGGAGGCAGGAATTTACATAGGCAAAAGGAAGTTACAGCACAGGCCCATACCCAATTATAATGGGATTCCCTGAACATGCTTATGTTAATTTTTTTCAGATTCTCACAAAAGGCAAGATCATAAGAAATGCTAATTCTCACAGAATTCCAGAGTCCCTGAAAATTTGTCTTTGGACCCCAACTTGAGAAACATTTCTTTAAGAGTTTAGCAGAGGGATACCTGGATGGCTCAGTCCACGGGCATGCAAACTCTTGATCTCGGGGTCACAAGTTCAAGCCCCACATTGGACATAAAGCTTACTTAAAAAAAAAAAAAAAAAGAGTTTAGCAGGAAAAAGAAAAAGGCAGTGTGGTAATAGTGGTACAAAGCACAACTACAAAGTCAGAATTCCAGGTTGTAACCCCAGCACAGAACTTAATGACTTTGTGAACTTCTACAAGTTACTTTTCCTCTCTGTGCTTCATTTCCCTCACCAGTAAAAGGAGATGGTCGTTATATATCTTCCTGATGGTTCGTTGGCAGGATTAAATGAGATAATCTGTGAAAAGAAGATAAAATTGCACCTGGCACTTGATTCTTCCTACTCTGCCTTAGTGCTATATACACAGCCAGTCTTATGCTAAGGAAGAGGAAGCTGATTAAGCTGATTAAGGAATCATAGAGCTAAGATCCCCCTTACTTTGTTATTTTCTTCTTTAAAGGTTTTAAGGAGCTCCTTAAAATAACACTATTTTTGCTTTGTCTTCACGTAGTGGGCAGCTCCTTTCTTATCTACACTAGTCCTTTAGTTCCCGTGAGGAAACTATCTTATATGCAGATAAAAGTGGCAATTCATTTCTGGCTCAATTCAATCATAATCATATTGTCAACTTTACAAGATGTTAATTACGAAATAAGAGACAATTGGTTGTGTTTTATGAGGCTGTTATGACATGCCTAGTATGCCCAGTGAGTGAGCCAGGAGGTTGAAATGCAAGTGCTTTGGGCTGTTCCTCACTATGTGTTAATGGCTCAATTAAACATACCTTAAAGGAGAGTTTCATCTTACTCCATAGTGGGTGTTTAATAATTTGTTTTGTTAGGAGATTTTGCCCTGAGCAAGTCCTCTGAGCCTGAAGGAGTTCTAAAGCTCTATTTCCAGACATGTTCCATGGTTCCTCTCACTCACCCCCTCACAGGGAGGAGTATCTGGAAAAGCTTTCACTGCAGTCTGTGGCCTTGATTCTCAAGACCACCGAGAAGCAGGGCCAATTTAAAGGAACTCCATAATTGCCCTCATAACTGATTTGGACAGAACAGACACAAATAAATGCTAGAGTATCTTATTTCTCCACAAAGAACCCCATCTCTACTATTTAAGCCAGCATTTATGTGAAGATTTTTCCGTTTTTCTTTGCTCTCTAGAGCATATTGGTTCAGATCTCATGGCTGAAGTTCACACAGGAGATTCACTGTATTATTCTTTTTTTTTTTTTTAATATAAAGCAACAGAGAATCTAGTTCCAAGTTAATGTTTCCAATATCAGCTTCTTTTTAAAATTAATAGCTACATAATCAAATTAAAATGTCATTTTTAAGGGACGCCTGGATGGCTCAGTCGGTTGAGCATCCAACTAATGATTTTGACTGGGGTCATGATCTTGGGGTCATGGGATGGAGCCTGGTGTCAGGCTCCGTGCTTGATGTGGAGTCTGCTTGAGATTCCACTTGATATTTTCTCCACCCTTCCTCCATCACATGCTCTCTCTCTCTCTCTCTCAAATAGAATCTTTTTTTAAAATGTCATTTTTAAGGAGAAAAAAAAAAGAATAGTGTAAAGTTCTTGTGACCTTAAATAATTGTGTTCGCTACTTAATAAGTATTTGGATTTGAAACTTTTCCTCATGTGTCATATATGATAGTTGCTGTCTTACCCTGGCATCATACTCTCTACTCAGTTTCCTCACCCTCCTTCAAGGGGCAAGGGCAGATTCTCAGTAAAAAAGACTCCTTGACTTTGCCCTATATTCTCCACCCCTCTAGAAGGGGGCCATGTTGAAAGTATCAGTACTGAAAGCACTAATTTAAAACAACAAGAATAAACAGATGTTTAAGAAGCATAATTTAGAAGGTATGACTCCTCACACTACTTCTGGTTCCCTGTCTCAAAGTCATCAGTCCTGAAAGCTTGATAAAATACGCAAAGAACCCACCAGCTACAGCAAAGAACCAGAATCTCACATATTGGCTCACATCAAGCCCTCACATAACC